ATAACACGTGTCCCTGTACAGTAAAAACTGAAACGAATTCAAGCACCAACTTATACGTTGCCGTTTCTGCTCAGCTCTTCTATTGCTTCTGAGGGAGACGGCGTAGTGTAAGAGGCTCATTAGTGCTTGCTTCCTCTGTGGTTCGATTTAGCCACAATCTTCAATAAAACTTTAGAGTCAGAAGTATTAATTTGACCTCTTTATCTAAACAAAATAGGGTAATATGAAGAACAATTGTATTTGTTCTGGGATGGACGAACAATCGAGGAAAAAGATGCATGGGGAAGGAAACTTCCGGCCAACATTGAAGCGGTGGTGCAAGCAAGACGCTGGCAGAGATGGTTGCGCCGGCGGAGATGGGAAATGGATATGCGGTGGCCGGACCCATTTTTCTCGCAACCATGTTTGTTTTGTTGAAATTAAATAAAGGACATTATAGTAATATTACATTTTAAGTTAGAGCGATAATAGTAAAAGTAGGGCGACGTTTAACCATCCATAAAAGAAATCGATCAAAGTTCATGTGATTATTTACCCTATGGCTTACGATTGTCAAACTACCAAAAAAAAAAAAGATACGCACCCTTATGTCAGAAAAGGCCAAAATATAAGCCTACCTATTGGGGAAATGACAGTTCTGCCAGAAGATACAGTTGTTACCCCGACTCTGTCTTGTATTTCTTGATTGATTGCCACAACACACTAGCCTTAAAATAGTAAGGGTAGTGCTACCACTCTTCTTAGATCCCTAACACTATGTTCTCGAAGGATGGAAAAGGAGGGAAAGTTACATTCCTGAAACACTTTCTCCCATTCTCCAAAAAAGAACAGTGCGGACGAGAGGAAAATAGGAGGTTAAATGCACTGTATAACCCATCCCTCCAAATCGGAGAGAAAGGTAGAGGGGATTTGGTTTCCTTTTTTTAATCATCTCTTTCCTCTCTCTTTTCGTTTTCTTCTTCGTTCTTGTTACCACAAAATCAGAAATTCTTGACCTGCAGGAGAAAGAACACGAACAGAACAAAAGGTTTTCAAAGAGAAAAATAAAAATATCATCGATGAATTCCCAAAAAAATGTATCACCCCAGTTAAAGTAACCGTGTTGGACCATGGTTGATAGTCAACGATGAAGTCGCCGACCAACTCTAAGATCCCGTTTCCCCACGTTAAGGACTCCAAAACCAACAAAAGTTAATTAAAACAATGAAAATTACAAAAACAAAACAAAAGGCACATGCATGCCCCAATCTTTACCTGGATCGAAGCTCTCTGTTGGATTAGGTTGATACAAGTTGTTCTATAGGCCAGTTAGGGAGGGAGAGGAAGAAGAAAGCTTGATGGGCTCTCTTTCTTTTAAATCAAACGAGCTTCCAAAAAGAAGAAAGAAGGGGGTCATTGAAGGGAGTTGGAGAAAAAGAAGAATAGAGGGAGATAAGAAATGGTATCCTCTCTGTTATGGAGAAATGAAGAGCAGATCTAGGAATTTTGTGAGAGGAAGAAGAGATGGGAGAAAGTGATTCTTTTGTGTAGAGAGAGATGAACTGGGCGGTAATTTGGGGAGGGGAATAGATTTTTGCTTTTAATGGTAATAAATAATTAATAAATTAGATATTTATAAATGTGCACTCATTCTTAAGTAGGTCTTTTATTAATTGGGCGTTGAGAGATTTGAGTGTAATATCAAGGTTTACGAAATCGTACAGGAGGTTATGACGGGAAAGTAGGGTATTTTATATGCTTGAATAATTTTTAATTTATTTAGAATGCTTGATCAATTATTATAAAGTCTTTATTTATAATATTTTGTTTATTAGTCGGCGGCTCATTAGTGGTTTCTCAAACGACTTAACACTAGTTAAAACCATACCATCGACAGTTAGGCTAAAAAACCTCCTACCGGAATCTAAATCGATATGAAATTTTAAACGATATAAAATAATTGATGTGCTTAAATCACGATTTTAAAACAAAATACTATCACTAATTTTTCCGATATCTCTGGTGTGATTTAGAAAGAAAGTACAAATTTAATTCATAATTTATAAGTAGAATATTAACATACAATCAAATTATTTTACTATTACATAACGAATAAAATAACATATTCATCACACTTCCCATTAAAAACTTTCCTTCTCACTTTCCTCCATAAAATAGCATTTTCTTTCCAATTTCCTTCACTTCCAAATCTCCCCTCCCCTCCTTTTTCTCTCTTCCTTCGAAAACAGAGTGTAAATGTTGTTGTTTGTTGCTGGATGCTACCTAGTTGTTACAGAAATATGCAATCAAAAAATTTTCACCACAATATCAAACCTGCAGCCTGCTCCACCAATATTACAGTTCTAAAATTGTAAATAAATATTGGATGCAACATTAAAATTCACAATCATGGTAATTGTATCCCTCATATAATAATTTCTTTTCCCAAACTGGGGAAATCAAATATATGTTGGATGCATGTATAGATGTAGTTACATGTATATGCAATTGCAGTCAGCTGCCCAGTTCTGTTAGATATATTGACTCAGCATTGGATTGACAGTTAATGCCCCAAGAGAAGACTGTATGCCCCCGCTAGTCCAGCACCTAGCTAGTTGCAGCCTTGCAGGCCGATGGTATAAACCCCTATATTAATTAAAATATTACAAGTCATACGTGAACAGGTTCTTATGTACCAAATTCAAGTAATCACAGCCTGGTCGCCACTTTAAGCGGCACAAGTCTTCCCATTCTCTCTCTCTCTCTCTCTCTAGCAAGACTAGGGGCAGATGTGCGCAAAAAGAAATGGCTTGAATTAGTTGGAAACGCAGAGAATCCATGACAATAATCTAGCTAGAATCAAGTGATTAAACAAGTGGTGGACTTAATGAATATTACCTAACATCAATGTTAATCACTGAAATAGTTTGTGACTTCAAGAAATATTTATTGACATAATTATCTTCTTCTAAATCCACTCAAAGGTAACTCTTTCTTGAGTTTCAGAAGTAGAAGTTACGATTAAAAAATAGGGACGATAAATCTTGTGGTGGAAAGGTCTGCTATTTCTATTTTTGCAACTTCCTTGTATATTAATATCTCTGCTTTAGAAGTCACTATAGACGCATTTGCCCAATTGACACATCTGAATGAATTAATGTTGGACGTATTGGATCCTTATAAATTCATGTCAAGATTGATCCTTGAGGATTTTAAAATAAAATATCAAAAAGTGGTTGACCGGAGCGTATCAAAATGCAGAGGATGAGACCAAGGCCCGTAATCAAATCTAGAAAAATATTGTTCATCAACATATTTATCTCCTTAGCATTGAACGAACAACGTAAGTAACACTAAATGTACATTACCAAAAAGTTCATCAATCGAATCTAGAATAAAGCTTTTCATCAACCTATTCATCCACATATCGATGGCATCCCCCAATCTAACTAGGGGTGCTATTTGGTCCGGCCTTTTTGGTTTTACCCAACATCGGACCGTATAATTCGGACCGAGACCGGACCGGATAGCAAACAATCCAACCATATTTTCGGGCCTAGATTTAGGGTAAAAAACCGTTGGGGAACGGACCGAAAACCGGATAAAGACCAGATAAGAGAGCCCAACACCCAAAATTTAACCTCCTCACCCTTTTAGGCCTCATGTCACTCAAATCCCTACAAGCTCAATCTAAAATCAAGACCGAATTAGGATCAAACCGGTTCAAGACCGGACTGTATCCAATCCAATCCAATCTCTGGTCCTTATATTCTCAAAAATTCCGGACCGAAACCAGATCAATTTGGGCCAATTTAACCAGACCGGACCATATAGCCACCCCTAAATCTAACTACTCCAGATGAACAAGGTACAATTTCAGTATATATGTAACGTACACAATAGATCTGTTTCTCTTCAACCAACTAATACTTCTCTCTTGTAATGTCCCGCGGTTCAAAAAATATCCCTCCTCGATTGTTGCCTCAATAGTAGTTCTTGGAGTTCAAAAACCTTTAGCTCATATACTTGATTATAGCTCACGTTATAGCCTCCACGTACGTAAATGGTCTCTGAACAACTAGGCTAACACCACCACCCTCAATTTAAATTTGGACATTTTTAATGGACAATATAAGCATAGTTGCAACTCTTAACCTTCTTGATTGGCGTAACCATTTTAATTGGTGGCGCAGATATTCATAGTTGAGGGAGACATGACCCACTTAACCTTCAAGTTAAAAGTGTAAACTTGTAAGAAATTAGAAAAATAAAAATAAAACAATTGATAAGACTTCATCCCAATTTTTCTGATCACCCAGGTTTAGATCTCTCAAAGTTCTAATTTTGTCACTAATTTAAGTGGGTAAGAGAGTGCATGTATATGATTCAGAGTTAATGTTTCTTTAATCAGTTAGAGTTATTGAAACCAAACTATTTAGGATATGGCATCAAAATCCGATTTGACCGAGAGTTTGTGTGTTAAAAACTTCACAACTCCTAATATTTATAATTGCTTTAAAACTAACATATGATAAACGATACAAAATAATCTCATGAGTTTATTTTCATAAAACGACCCACCTAAATCCACATCTATGGAAGAATAGAAGTTTGTCAAAAAGGATAACTAACACACATTTTATTTACAGTGTCTTGGACTCTCGGTACATTTCATTTCCTCATTTCTCGACCGTTGACCATAATCATGAACCGTAAAAAGAGAAATAAAACCATTCCTCGGATCTGCCATTTTACTATTCGCAGATCGAAACAGGAAACCAAAAATTAACATATCCCTCGTGAAAGGCCAAGACAAAAAAAAAATAAAAATGAAGCTATCCACAAATCCCAATCAACCTTCCCCAATACCGTAACAGTAACAGTAAAAAAAAGGAGAGGTTAAAAAAAGAAACCGAATCCCCACCACCGCCTACGTCCGTCGCCGGCTCAGATCCCGGTACCGGAGAGACACCGGGAGGAGGGGGAAAAAAAAAGATCGAGTGGGGCCCAGTACATTAAATTTACGAGTCTTCCATGATGCTGTCTAGATATGGCTGCCACACTCCAGATCTGCCCGTCCCAGTCCGTCTGTGACGCCGTGTTGACGGCGTCGAATCTTGCTCCTTCTTCTTCTCCTCCTCCTCGGAGAGGGAGATTGCCGTCTCCGGCAAGTACAGATTGCAGTGGTCGCTAACAGAAGCGTGATGGTCACCATTGTTCTTGCTGTTATCGTGGTCGGTGGTACACTTTTTGAGACTGCTGCGTTTTGTACGGCGTCGTTTCTTGTCGGGCAAGGAGGATTGCGGGATCAGGAAGTAAATGCCGCCGCGCTTGAGCTCGGAGTCGGGCGAGAGGATGAGGATCCGGCGGACAACTCCCTGGGAGGAAGGCTTGCTGAGGACGTGGTTGGGGTTGGCCTGCAGGATCTCGCCGGCGGTTACGGGTCGGGTTATTTCCTCCACGTACCCGTTCAGATGGACTATCCGGATCAAGTCCAGTGCGCCGCAGGGAATCACGCACGCCAAACAGCACCTCAAGCTGTTCCCCATTGTAATCTCTCTCTCTCTCTCTCTCTCTCTCTCTCTCTCTCTCTCTCTCTCTCTCTCTCTCTGTCGATGGATTTTCTTCTTCTGGTTTCTGTTTTGTGGGGGGAGAGAGATGGAGATGAAAGAAGGGAGTTTTGGCAGTGATGTATTTATAATAGAGGACTAGCCGTACATGCAAAGAACAAATTCGAGTTATGGGGCGGGGGGAAATTACTAATCAGTCCTCAATGCATTAAGGGAGATATATCTAATTAAGTACAAAAACTAAGCATCCTTTTTGTTTATTGATTGATGATTGAGAGATAATGAAGTTAGGAACAATTATGAATGCGGTTGAGGGGGGGGTTCTTCCGATGCTTATTAAAATATTTCTATGGGGTTTGCGGGTGGGGACTTGATCTACATATATAGAGCACATTGTAATGTTCCTTGTAAATGTTATTATTAGCTTAAGAAGTGATACTGCCAATATTGTAATATGTGGGGTTTACTCTGTGCATGTTCAATCTTAATTAAGTGCATACAAAATTATTTATTTGTGGGATTAAGTCTCATCGAATAATATTAAACGGTGATAGATTTGAAGAGAGAATTGGGTGCATAAATCTGATTTGTGCAAAATGCCATATAACTTTTGCATACGAATGGTGATACTGATACAATTCTTACCATAATGGCAAGACACGTTGTATTACTATAATAAGAAACATATCATTTTTATAGATGGAGGTTATGGTTATGTGGAAATAGATTATACACATGATATTCTCCTAAAATTTGTAATGTTTTGCAAATGACAATTATCTTAGTAAGTTTTGCATGTATGTCTAAATTCAAAGTGTACTGTGCAAAGATATTTTGTTATATTTAAGGAATCAAACTAGGAGACTTGCTTGCAAGTACATTTACGGTGGATTCGTTGCTGCGCAGCTGTAAACCCATAAAATTTTATTTGGAAGTCCATGTTGGTTGCCTTTTCGAAGAATTTTACGACTAGTTCAATTTTGAACGAAGCAAAGCAACAAATTTAAGTACACGTTTAAAAGAAAATTCCATCCAACGCACTAGGATCATGTCCCTCTAGCGCTCCAGAGTTGAGCTCCAGATGAATTCTCTGGCAGCGGTACAGGTTTTACAGAATCGGGTCGAGGAGGGGCATAGGCATGCCACTATTATCCGTTAGATTCAAAATATGTTGGACACTTTTGGTGAGGTCAAGATTACTCACATTTACAGAGAGCAGAACCATGTAGCTGATTTTCTTGCTAATAAGGGACATTTGATTCCCGTAGGAAGCTCCTAGTATGATCATATGGAGCCGCTTTTGTATTTCTGGTTAAACCATGATGTTTTCGGGATCCAAGAAGCCCGAGTAATTAATGTTATGGGTTAGCACGCCCCTAGCGCCCGTTTTTCACCAAAAAATAAAATAAAAGAGAATTTATCAATTCAATTATCTAAACACATACTTTCCGAACTTATCTTTGTATTTTGTCCCAAGCGATTTAAAACTCTTTGTATAGAAGATGTGGCGTTTGCTTATTAAATTTCAACAAACCCAATTTCCTCACTCATCCACCAAAGTATATTTGCATATTGTAACGAAACTGCGGTCCCTGGTTTTTATTTATATGAACACTTTCATATTAGCTAAAACCTGCTTATATTTATTCATTAGGTATATGATGAGACATGCATTAATATTCGATCTACTACATATATATATTCCTTTCATTTGGTGTTCGAGACTCAAGAGTCAATCAGCTAGACGCTTATTGAATATTGATTGACTTTCATAATTGAAAGCGAAAGGCTAACCAACCAAAAAATAAATGTTACAGACTTACAAATCATTTGGTCTGAAATGAATCTATAATTCAATTCGTTATAAAAAGAATTATTGTGTAGAATTCATTATCAAATGAATTCTTGTCTTTGTTATGTCATACATGTTCAAAACGTTATAAATGAATTGAATTCTCAAATCATAATATACATTCGAAATTGAATTAAATTAAAATTTCCAATTACACCCTTATTAATTGCCATCAAATTAAAATAATATATCACTCTCATCATGGAGGATTAGTAATGCAAATGAGATATAAAAAACGAACTTAAAAAAATTCCATGACATAATTCATGTATTGCCATTGCAAAATTTTAAGACTACAAATCACAATGAAAGATCCAAATTGCAGAGAGTCGCACTCGATGGAAGTAGGGTTTAGTAAAGATCCTAATCAATCATCATTATTCCTTCACATATAAAAGAAATAATTCCCATTAAGAAAAACGCAAAAGTAAAACACATAAATAACCCATGTCAATTCCTCGAAATTGTTATAATTAGCTTCAATTCCATTGAATTCAAATTTTAGAATTGAAAATGAATTCTTTTATATACCAAACACAAAAATATTTCATTTCAAAATGAATTTCTCAAAACTTATGAAATTCATTTATACCAAACAGTATGTTACTGATGTGCATGCAATTCAATATTTGCTGATCAGACTTCATTACAAATTTTATTGATCAGATTTAAGCGATCCAACTATAGTGTTTAGTGTTTACAGATCATCTGCTAGAACATATTTACATATACTCGCAATTATTGGATCATATGCTGGTACTACGCAATTGTTGGATGGACGCAGTTACCAATTATATGCAAAATGACCACCACGTTTATTCGAATTTTCCACGCCTTGATTCAACGATCCGAAACATGTAAACACATTCTAGAAATGGGCTGCGAGTATTTTAACAAAATTGAGAATTCACAAGCCTACGAAAACATCAATTTCCATATTCCCGGCGGTTATCCTTATTAATAAACTATTTTCCCCCTGACATGTATTTAGAGTTAATTCAAAATGAAGGATTTCCCCTAATAGATCCAAATCCAAACCTCGGGGTAAACAACTTAATTTTATTTTTCTCTGCGCAAAACCTAACTGAAGACATGCATCCACAGCTATACAGCAGTGATCAGCAGACCATATGGCTTCCCTTTTACCAATGATAATAAAAAGCAAGGAAAAGATGCTCAAAATTTATTAAACAAATTTAAAAATAATAATAAAGAAGGAAGGAAGGAAAGAAAGAAAGACTAGATAGCCCATAATGATAATTGATAATATCTCCTTTTCTTCTGCTGGAGATGTTCTGATATATATACCATTTACAGGCTGCTGCTTTACAGTGTTTGTCATGGGTCGTTTAATTGGCTGTAAACTTGATAAAGAGGGCTCAATTACAATTACTAATATGGTGATTTTTTTTATGAGTAAAAGAGTGTAGTTATGACATGTATGGTATGTATACATTTACTAAATCTTTTTAATAAGAAATAGGCATCGAATATGGAGCAAACCGCATAGGATGTTTGCAACATGCATACTAAGACAATTTGGGTAGGAAAAAATAAATTTTTATGAATTATAATTTGAAAAATTACATCCTTGGAAAGTTACAAATCACTATAAATACATTCTCATTTTTACTTCTCCGACCACCTCTCAGTCTTTGTCTTCGTTCCGATGAGTTAGCAAAACTACGAAAATAATAACAAATCGGTACCAGTAGTTCAGAAAAACCAATACAACTATAAAAACAAGGGTTAATAGTATAAATTGCCCACATACTATTACTTTTTCTAAACGTGCCCCTCTACTATTTTCACGTCAAGTTTGCCCCTCTACTATTGTCATGTTCTCAAGCATATCCTTCTGTTAAGTTTTTCGTCCAAACTCCATGAACCATGGTCAATCCGAGCATATCCTTCTGGTTATGCATATAAACGTAATGGTTCCTCTGCCCGACTTCAATGGAGGAGAACTTCTCGGTAGCAACCTCCACGAACTTATAAAGAGCTCCAAACTTCAGGGAAGTCGAGGTGGAAAATGATTGAATCGGGTCCTCTACTTAGAGATCTTATTTGGTTGGGATGGACAAGCACCTTCTACACGTTGTTGTTGATAAGGCTGTTGCTGGAATTTCTTCAATTGATAGGGTTCTCACTACTGCTAGATAGGAGGTCTATGTTGGTGCCTTGCAGCTGGCCAATGAAATCCGGGTGGTCTAGGGGTACGTGGGTGATGAGCACGAAAAGTTGGGGTGATTACGCGACCCTGGATTATAGTTGTTGCTATACACGTTATTGTTCATGGTATTAGCAATGAAATCCACATTCTCCTGAGGTGTAACGGCCTCATGCATTGCTAAATAGTCCTCCAATTCATGATTACGACTTTGACACCATTCACACTACATCACTGGTGACTTCACTCGAGGGCCCGATGAATTATCCGACTTACGCAATGTTGTGATCAACTCATCCATCTTTGTCTTCAGAGAAGGTCAGAATTCTACCGAGTTTATCTTGACCCTTTTCCTCGATGTGGGTTTCCCCAGTCATACCTTCGTGCAACAATCCCTTCAAACAACTTAGTCATCTGTGGTGGGGTCTTATTTAACATTCCTCCCTGTCAGAAAGAGTATCTAAGCTGGCAATCTTCCGGAAGAGTGCATTGTAGAAGGTGCCCAACTTGAAATGATCATCAAATATGTGGGGTGGGAATTCCAAGAACATAACATAATATCTTTCTCACGCATCTCGAAGAGTCTCATCCTCCTTCTAGGCAAAGGGAGTGATTTGCCTATGCAATTCAGCAATTTTGGAAGGTAGATAGTAGTGGTTCATGAATTTGGTCGCCTAGTCTTGCCAGGATGTTATGGAAAGTGGAGGTTGATGATTGAGCCAATGCCTTGCTTTATAGCTCAAAGACCACGAAAATAGATGCGAGCGGAAGGCAGCTTGTAGCACCCCATTCGATTTAATCATGTCAATGAGCTCCAGGAACCAATTAATCTTCTCACATGGTTTCTCGTCCTGCAGTCCATGGAACTAGATGTTGTTCTATATCATTGAGATCATATCGAGCTTGATCTCGCAATTGTTGGCAGCAATCTGTGGGTGCCGGATGCTAGGCTGTATC